GTAGATACACTTCTATTTACAAAGATATCGATATGTCATTTCATTTATTTTGTAGACATAAATGTAGAAAGAATGGAACCCTTATAGTCGACAGAGACAAACAATGCCAATGTGCGACACTTATGAATGCTCCTTATGAGACCGAAATTCTGAAGAAACGTAGCAAATTCTATTTTTTGCTTAAACGATATGGATGCTAACTTTTTATTTATTACAATCAGAGGAAAGAAATATTTTAATGTAAATGTAAGGCTTATACAGATATATAAGTTTAATAAAGAGGGGCAAGTGTAAAATGGCACGATAATATAACCAAATAATTCTTTCAGTTCTAGATATTTGTAAGGATGTATAATGCGGTTGCAAACACATGCTTAATGTCAGATCTTAAACAGACAGGCATTAAAGAGTGGATTATCCTAAAAGTGCTTTATTTTAACACTCAAACACAAACATAGAGAATACGGCTCAAACACTGCAATGAGTATGACTCTATGGATGGAGAATGAGATTAAGCAGAAAGCCAAGATAGTCCGTCACATTTTCCCATGTCCTTAGAAACACTCAGTCCGAAAACATCGCTCTGAAATTGATCAATATAAATTTATTTAAGTTTGATCTTGTCATGCTGATTAAGAAAAGTAAAGACATTAATTAGAAAAGTTTTAAACATAATTATTAGGTCGAAGCTTCATTTTCATCTTATTTTTTCGATCTTAATTTCATTGTACATAAAGTTAAAGAAGAGAACACTTCGACTTCCTGAAAAATATACAGAGAATAATTGAATATGGGTAGCTTTTCCATTGGTCATTAAATTTTGCAAACAGATATCAGGAATCTAATAGGCTAATCTAGAATAGTAAAAAAATATAAAGGATCTGTTTAAATTGTGCACAGGTAATCTAAAGGGGTTTCGGAAACAAAGTTTATAATAGAAAACGGATAATTGAGACCTGCGACCGTGTTTCATCCTATTCAACATTTTATAACAGATAACATTTTCATTAATTCTCCAACGAACAAATTTTTAAAGATATTTGTTTTAAATATACTCATTCGCACATTCAAACATTTGTAGCAACCATACAAACCTAACTATGTTAATTTTTGCCACTTTATAATTGAAGTGCTTTTTGTATAAAATATATAACATATTACAAAACATGACGTATATCTGTATATAATAAGATATCTTCGTCACAATAGTTTTAAACTTTAAATATTTTAGATATTACAAGTATTTTACATTCTCACTGTGAATAAACACAGGCTTTTATCCCTGTATTTGATCGCACAAATTTGTACCGATCGACTTTATATTTTGTAACAAATTACCAAATACAAATTCAATGAAGTCAAAAGTAAAGTTTGTGTCCCGTTTAATTTAAGCTGCATTTTTTTCACAATTTTCATGGACAAAAATGCGAAATGTTTCGTTCTCCGTTCTCCGGTTGTACATAGATGAAAATTATTTTGAATAACTCTTGTCCAATTATTAAACCTTATGAAGACTAATTTGTTTGATTCTGTTTTTGGTATAGATTATGTGTCAACCTTTTTTTCTACGCACTACATAAGCACTGAATCTTTTAGAAGTATTATACATGCATAATTATGTACAAACGTACATGCACTAAGTATAATGAGTTGTTCCAGAATTTTAAGGTAGATTTTTAAAGGCATAATGAGGCCAAGAAATTCTTTTAAGAAAAAATAAGATAAATTTTATTATGGTGCCCTATAACAGTTTCTAAAAAATGACTCATTGAGCTTTTATTGTTATCGTTGTTGTTTTTATTTATTGTGCTTTTTTATGGGGTGGACCTTTTAGTAATTTTAAATAGTAGTAGAAGTATTTTAACTTCCATTAAAACGCCCTAGAACAGTTTCTAAAAAATGACTTATTGAGCTTTTATTGTTATCGTTGTTGTTTTTATTTATTGTGCTTTTTAATGGGGTGGACCTTTTAGTAATTTTAAATAGTAGTAGAAGAATTTTAACTTCCATTAAAACAAAAATTCCCTCTACGAGGGGTTATCACATATGAATGCAACTGGGTCAATATTCAGAAGTTCGTGCAAAACATGGTTAAAAGTGAGATATTGGCCCAGTTGCATTCATATTTGAACACCCTTCGTTTTTTTACTAATTGACAAATGCAACCGAAGACAATGTTTGTTCCGGAAAATAGGTAATTGGCCCATGAGTAACGTTTTTTTAAATTATCTCAATATGATCTTCACATTTCTAATGTGACATAGAAACCGCAACAGGTACCTGGTCGTTAAAATGATATTGATTATTTTTCATAGCTTTCGTTGTGAGTAATATACGGATTCAAAAACGAATAATTATTCTTTTTCAAAAACAGTTTTTTCAATCTTCTACAAATTCAAAATCATCATATATAATCTGAATTATATATTTCCCACTAAACAACTTTCAATACACTCATATGCTGTTCCTAATCATGTATAATCATTTTATCCTTAGAAATGAAAGCAATGAATCATTTAACCGCTGATTGGTTTTCTAAATATGTCCATCAAAAATATAGCAAAAAAAAAATATTATTAAAGGACTCAAACCACTGATAGCAAGCAAAGATTATTGATTTTTACCAGTTAAAATTCCAGACGTTCGCCCCGCGAAGCCAGAGATTATGGCAACCATATGAATTTAGCCTCACATGCTCATAAATTGATTTACCAGAAATCTTATTTGCCTGATGTAAGAATTTTATGTAGAAATTTGTTATCAGAGCGCAGTATTATAAACATGCTTGTCAAAATGAAACGTATTTTATATCACCTGTGCACTCACTTTTACACAGAGATGGATATAATGTCACTTTAAGATAAAAATGTCGTCCTTGTTAACAAGAACATGTCATTCCTCAAAAATCACTACTTAAGGCTGTATTCATTCAGTGTTTATGATTGTTAAATAATTTTTATAACCCCATTTCACTTGTACTATATATCAAATTATTGTTTCATAGTTTCATTACAGATAAATATTAAGAAATAAATAATGCAAGTTGTCACCTGACTAATGTAAATAGCACCGACATATTAAAATTAACGACGATACAGCAAGATATAGCTGAAATATAGAAACAAGGAGGACATGTTCTGTAAATAAGTGTTTAAGATGGTGAAGTTCAATGCAAAGATGTTTAGTCTAGAACAATTTTTCTGAAAATAAAAGTTCGATTATAGATGAAAGTAAGTTGGTACATGATGAATATGTCACATTTTTAATACGCAAAAACATGCTTTTTACGTTTAAATTGTTTCCTGTATATTCATATTAATTTATATTATTAAATAAAATAATTTGTGTTAAAGTGTGCGTAAGGACTTCTTATTTATATTCACTGATATGAGCTAATACAAATCTTTTATAGAATAGGAGAAAATCATATACTTACTTGTCCGGAATATAGCCAACCATCAAGGTTACCGGAATAATAGGGATCTAGCCAACAACATAGTTCACTAGAAAAACTGTGATAAAGCAAACCTATTAGCTAACCGGAATACAAGAGATCACTGACGGATATACTAGTAATCAAGCAATATATCTAGTTGACCGGAATTGAAGTGATCTAGTCAACCAATTAGCTGATCAGAATACTAATGAGCCTATCAATCACATACTTCCATTTAGTTGACCAGTATGCTCTGATCTAGGAAACCGTCTTATTGACCTGAATACCAGTGATCTAGGAAACCGTCTATTTGACCAGAATACCGGTGATCTAGGATACCGTCTTGTGGACCGGAATACAAGAGATCTAGGAAACCGTCTTGTTGACCGGAATGCAAGTGATCTAGCCAACCATATACATGACCGGTATACCAGCATTAACAATATAAGAAACGTGAAGTAACGTTGTCTCATAATACGTTTGCAAATCGATGAATCCTAGGAATAATAGCCAATGTTTTTGAATAATTCATGATTTGTGTTTTGAGATCTTACATCAAATGAATTTTACACAAAGGAGAAAGACGTCAAAACACTTTCAGAACTGGAAAGAAGCCAAGTATTTGAAACTTAATGCGTCTATACATTTGACAGTACAGAAACGGTTAAATTCAAGCTTTTGAGTGCAAAGGACTAATATGAAAATTACAAAATAACATCAGCAGCCTTGAATATATTAACAAAGATGGCCATAAGTTGTGACCCTGCCTAAATAGGCCTGTAAAAAAATACTTGAATGGCAACCTTTCTGCACAAATGACGTGAATATCCTCTGTCGAGAATTTTTGCAAAGTTTTGTATGTTAACGTTATTATTAGTGCTGAGGTTTTTTTTTACAGGATAATGATTAAAAGCTGATTTAAGGGTGATTGCTATGTGAAAAGATTCATGAGAAAAATAATAATTGTATTGCTTCAAAAAAATCAAAAGCATCGGTTGTAAACAATATGTTTTACAATGTTGGGTTTAGAACCGTGAACATTTAACTACTAATACATCATATATTTTGAGATACCTTCTACCGGCAATAAGCAACTAATGACCTCTTTCACAATAATAAATTTGAGAATCAAAACAAAACATTGGGAATGTAAATTAATAAAATGAAATAAGCCAACCATAACTTACTGTATGTAACTAGGGCATTGTCAACACAGTTGTGTCTCAATAAAACGTAAACAGTGTAATTAAAACTTAAAATAGTTAGACTAACAGAACAATATAAACGTAGCTGATTTTTTTACAGTCAACAGACTTCTTATCAATATAATAATGGGTTTTAAATGTCTAAAGATAACAATAACATGTGTACAATAATAGAAAAAAGTAGCTTTATTTGATTTTTTATATCCTTTTCATACAACTACATACAAACCATTATCAGAATAGAAATCAGAATATTTACTTAATACTAAACAAGTTGTGTTTCAAAGTTTGTTTCAAGAGCAATTTGTATGATACGATGAAAAATTATAAGGAAACAATAAGATGTGAATCATGATTTAAATGTTAAAAAGGAACAAAAAGAATATGACCTCGGCATGAGGAGTCTAAAGTCGAATTAAAAAAAACAACAGAAAAAACAACAAAACAGAACAAAAACAAAACACATGGTTATTGCCACTTTCACATCACACACTTATCCATGTATAGTATGAAATAAGAAACATTCGCATCCTGAAATACTGATATGTGAAGAAACTGTATTATTTCAGTCAGATTATATCAAAACAAAATTAGGACGCATGAAAATAGTTAAATTATGACACCATGTTGCATAATAGGTAAAATCAAAGAAATATTATAAAAGTTATATCAATTACAGTGCAATGTTTTAAAAACTAATATCAATTACAGTGCAATGTTTTAAGAATAACTTGTCGTTTTAACGCGTTAAACTTTATAATATTAAGGCGATAATTGACAAATTCAATGTCTTTTATATAGAGAATCTACAATGTCCAATCATTTACACAATTTACTAGTCAGCTGGATATACTTTTAACAAATGCTATGAAAGTGAAGGTTGATCGGACAGAGATAAAAGAATATTTACGGAAACTTAAAGTGAACTATTTTGTTTAAGTTTTGATTTTGAGCAGTAAGTGTCTAATGATCAGTCAGAAAGTTAAACAAAAACTGTAATGACATGACACCTCTCATATGATGAAAACTGTATAGTTCCTGGGCAGACTCCACAGACCTATGCATGCTGACATGGCTCATACTGGTGGCAAATGCCAAATGTTTTCTGCTCAAACAGGTTATATGCTAAGAAGGATATGTACTTTTACAAATAAATTAAACTCTTGCAAATGTCAGACATCCATTACTGATTTCCATCAAACTGAATGCGATATATCAAACCAGACTCCATGTAGACATATAGCAGGTTAAATGTTTCAAAATCATCTCCAAAGTCTCGAATGTTGCGGTCACAGTGCTCCGCGTTGTCAACCAGGATCTGAATCATGAACAATAGTTACATGAATTTTTTGAAATGTTTTCCATGGCTTGGTCCGCTTAAGTGAAATACCAGGTATATGTAAGTATATGAAAGGTACTTTTCTACATTTATCCTTATTTCGTACTGATCTTACTAATTTTTAAGTGAAATCTTATGGCAAAAGTAGCCATCGGGATTGCCGAAAATCAATTTATAGGTTCAAGCAAGAGTTGATCAAGATATTTAGAGATATTATATTTGATGACTGAGCACTATTTTTTAAACTTATTATATTTGGACAAGGGTGATAAAAATTGATATAAAGGTATAAGAATGCAAAAGGGGTAATTCTGCTTAGATGCATATAGGTTGATGCTCAGGTTGTTTTTTTAATTGGTGCTCATCTAGTCCCTAAATCAGTTAGAGTAATTTAAACACTCAAGAAAGAGAAACACTTTGCAAAAGTGGAACCTATTATAGTGGCAAATATATGTGTGAATAATCGAGATAATTAAGCTAGAAAAAAATACATTTAGAAACACGAAATATGATTTTACCTTGATAATTGCATTCTGTAAAGTGAAAGATATTTTTGCAGTCTGATTTGTCTTGACTGGGGAAACTGAAAGTGTTGGTTTGTCGCGGCCGATATAACACGTAAGTGCCCCAAAAGCAGATCTAGAAGAATAATATGTAATCATAAGCTTTTTACCAACATTTTAATATAAAGCATAAGCAAAAATCTTTTTTGTCTAATTCTCTTTTTACACTCGCGAAGATTATGTTATCAAATATTTGAAATACCATATTAACGATAATTTTGGAAGATTCTTTTATTTAATTGATTTTATTTTGTTCTCTATTATACCATTTTGTATGTATGATAATTGAATAAAATTTGACGTTTAAAAAGTAAATCAAACAAACAAAAAAAAAAAACATTTAACTTTAGTGGCATTATATGTTTAACCTTAAGACAAAATACATATAAATGATGAATTACATAGAGAATACCTGTTTGTTTTGCATGTAAGATTGAAATATAATTTCACTGAGTAGCCATGGGTTAAAATATAATAGCTGGTGGTTACGAATGAAATTTATTTCAATCATATAATTATATTAAACAAATAAATTTTCCTTTTATTTCATGCTTTTTAAGTGATTTTTAGTATATTTTTACTGATTTTGCCGCGTAACGTCGCGCACTCTCCTTTTTGTGACGTCATCACATCATGACGTCACATTATCAATTTTGAAATATAGTTCTGTTAAATTTCTCTAATTTTGTTACATTTTTTATATGATGTATGGTGAAATTTACTTTATTTTTCTAAAGAAGCCAAATTTACGCATGACAGCATTTATTTCTGCCTGTTATTCCATTTAGTTAAAAAGTTTATTTCATTTGAAAATGTTTGCATTGCATTGCTCCAGTTCGCTATTCATTGTACATATCGCAACATTTCACTTTTAATATTTAATCGAGCACCCTCATACCGATCGGAATGATCGGCTTTTATTATGACCGACTAAAAGGCTCGAGAATATGCTGTCGCCCTTTCACAATATCTGATTTCATTCCATAAAGGGGCGCGGCGCTTCGGCGCGGACGCCAATGATTGAATTTTCATCCACATTCAGATATAGTCCGGCTACAGTGAAAATTAGATTTTATAAATTTCACTAGTGGTTTATCAGAAAATAATTATCTGATATATTACAATAACACACTAGGAAGCATGAAATAAATATACATACATTGTAGTTAAAGGCACATTATCCCTGCGAAATGAATAAAATTTTAATGTTTCTTCTACAGAACGGACAAACATGTGTTTGATAATGAATTTATAATGGTAAAAAGCATGCATAAAGATTCAGCGATGAATGTAACCTAATTATACATTAAAGCAGCCAAATGTAAACAACGAAGAATTTTGTCTTCCATACAAAATACACAATCGTATATTCATAGTTTTTTTACTTACGATGACGACAAGACCATCGTTTCATTTGGCGCAATTCCGCCAAAGCCTTCTGATAACTTCAACGGTTTTTGCGACAGGCGCACCTCAAATGCAGGTTTGTAGCCAAATACACTGAATCAAACAGAACGAAATTTTATGCAGTATATTCATGAATTGGGATAGGAAGTAAGTGAAAAAGTTAAGTACTATTTCATGATACCCTTATGAATCAAAAATCCTCGATCGATTCCAATAACTTGTTAGGTCATAATATGGTACTAAATTATGCTTTTCAAATAATAATAGTAATGGTGAGTCGACCTTTATTCAATTCAAAAATGCATTATTTCCCATAATAAACGTTTAAAACGGCTAGATTTTGTCTATTCTTCGAAATAAATCTACATACATCACACACATGATGTATAACGTTCTCCTTTATCAAACATTGCTTGCAAAAAGAAGGCAAAACAAAATGGCTGTTATTTTTCCCTAAGGATATACAACAAATTATACAAATGTAAACTTTTAATTTCTTTTAGTTTTTTTTAAAACCTATATATTGTTTTGAATGCATAACGTAATGCCTTATGTACTAGCCAACCCGTAAACCTTCAAGACCACCTATACATTCTATTGACGATAATATAGTAAAGTAAATTTATTCCATTAATGTAAATCAGTTATTGACTTGCATCCAACCATTAACTTGGATTTTATCTCAACATAATAGTTTACTTTTCATAAAGCGTTGGTTTCAACAAGAAAATGACATCTAGTTGAGATCCATTTCCAAGACCTCCCGGTACCATCCACTCAACATGCGAATTGTTTGCAAGATCATGCTTAAAAATAAAAATGGATATAAAGTAAACTTCACATATAGCGAACTTCCGGTTATAAGGAACTATTTATTTTGGCCCAAATTTTGCCCTTCTTTATTTAATATAAAACTATACGGTTATAGCGAACACGGTTATAAGGAATTATTGCTTATAAGGAACTCATTTCTTAGTCCCAATTTAGTTAAAAGTGCATAAAATTATACTTTTATAACGAACTCCAAATATCGGCTATCCGTAAATATATCCCGCATTTCAACTTTCGTTGAATGTACCGTTTATTGTTGTATGTAATTCAATATATGAAAATGAATTTGTATAGAAGTATGTAATAGTTTTCTATTTTGGATATTTTTAGCTTGAGTTCTTGTCACAAAGATAAAACGGTAATTCCTTTTATTCTATAATTTCTTTTCTTTAATAGTTTTGCTCGAGTAAGATAATTATCGGTTTTCAACATAATCACGCATGCTTGCAAACATAATCCATAGAAAACTACAAAGTATGCTTGATTGAAATGAAAAGAAATCTATATATTTCATAAGTTCAAGTCACCCTTAAAATATAATAGAAGATATTCAATATAAAAGGAAGAAAAATGGAAAATCTGGTTTATTCTCATTCATTGAAAGAAAACGAAAAGCACTGAGTTAAGAAAGAAAATATGATTTTTTATGAAAAATTGAGAAAGGGAGTAAAACTAAAACTGAAATAGCAAATGATTTTCAAATTCCAAAATGTACACTCTCGTGTATTGTGTCTAAAAAAGAAATAAATGACTTATTATTCTAAATCAAATGCTCTTAAAAATGGCAGACGATGTTTAACAATCAGTTCGTTATATGTAAATCTGTTCGCTATAAAAACTCCTGATACAAGGAACTAACTCGCTATATGCTTACAAGGAACTCCGGATATAAGGAACAGATTTTGAATGTCCCAATGAGTTCGTTATAAGCGGAGTTTACTGTATACATAACATTTCTAGTTTGTTATAACCGGACAGAAGGCTGTTGAGACAAAATGATATTTTTTATCATTCTATTTGTAAGGTTAAAATTATATTATAAATTGCATACACACAAATTTAACCTAGTGCTACCATTTACTGTTACAATGTACTATGCCCCGCCCTTTGTGCCCTATTTTGTCTATTGCTCTTATTGATACATTTACTTCGGTTGTCTTTGCGACTTCACCCTATGAACTTTGCCAGGTATCTGCAATGTTGATCTTTTTACTTACAAATTTGCACACAGTTAACCACTGAAAGATTTAAAGTAGCCCTGATTATATACTTAAGATCCTGAATAGATTTTGCATTCATCCCTTTACTTTATTACTTTAAACAAAAACAAATTATCATCACTGTTGTTGAAACAAAAACATATTTTGACAGGTTATCAGTGTACGTAAAAAAGGAATATTTAGAAAAAAATATTTTTAAGTAAAAAAAAACATTCCACATTTAACCTTTTTGCAGCAACTTTTTCATTATTGTTTGAATTTCAAAATAAGTAACATAACAATTTCATTTGACAAGACACTGAAAATAACAAAAACTCCTGAGATGATATGGTCACTACTGCTGTATTTCAAAACTAAGAGAGTTGTTCATATTCGTTAAAAAGAAAGTTAAATTAAACATGAATTAAATCCAAAACTATATATCATCGATTAATAGAAGTGTCCAAGTAAGCCATTGATATCATCTTATAGAGCTAAAGCAAATAAAATATATAAAATGAAAATCAAGTAAAAAAGCAGTATGAATATAAATTAACAGTAAATAAGAATCAATATATAATTGCTGTTCAACAGAAATAACGAATAAAGGGTCTTTAAAACAAAACAAGTTAAGCAATAGAGCTGCTTACTGCTGGCTGAAAGATTGTTGCAGAATGTACTTTTACAGCATATCCGTCATCTAGGGATGTGGAATGAGGTTCGGCTGAACGCCGAGATAGTCCGACACATTTTCCCGTGTCCTTAGAAACACTCAGCCCGATAACATCACTCTGAAATAGTTCAATATAAATTCATTTAAGTTAGATCTTGTCATGCTTATAAAGAAAAGTAAAGAAATAAATGAGAAAAAGTTTCAAACATAAACATAAAGTTCTTAGCTTTATTTACATTTTGTTTTTATCGTAAGAGAAAATGTGTTATCATGCATATTTGGTAGATTTTTAATACACTCATTCGCACAGTCAAACATATTTTTATAAAACTTGTGGCAACCATACAAACCAAACTGTGTTAGTTAGTTTTTGCCTCTCAATGAATAACTGAAGTGCATGTTATATGATATACACTACGCTTATATATATATACATATGTGTAACGATATTTTTAAATTATGAATATTATAAATATTATAAATGTTTTACCTTCCCACTGTTAATAACCGCACATGCTTTTATCCCTGGATTCTGTCGCACAATTTTGTACCGGTCGATTTTAATTTTGAAACAAATTGCCAAAGACAAACTCACTGAAATCAAAAGTAAAATCTGTGTCCCGTTCAATTTAATCTCCATTTTCTACAACTTTAATGTACACAAGAAACCGATGTTAAAATGTTTTATTCGCCGTTCTCCGGTTTGACATAGATGAAAATTAAGTGTCTGTCTCTTGTTCATTTATAAGTTCTTCTGAAATCTTATTTGTTTATCTGTTTGATTCTACCTTTCGTGTGGGATTATACTTCAGCCTTTTCTTCTGCGCATTATGCAATTTAAGTGGTTCTTGTCTTTGAAGGTTTAAAATGCGTTAGAACTGAATTATTTAGAAGTTAGAAGTATTATACATGTGCATGCGTATGTGTCATTAGTGTAATGTGTTGTTCAATAATTTTAAGCTAGACCTTTAAAGGCATAATGAACCAAAGACATGCTTTTAGTTTTCAAAAAAAACATATGGTGTCCTATCTAAGTTGCTAAAAAGGACTCATTGACCATTGTTTTTGTTTTGTTTTCTTTTTTCGGGGGGGGGGGATTTTTTTTTAGTTGTTTTTATCACCTGAAGAAAATAGCATTAAATTTGAGATTATTATAATAGTAGCAAATGAAAATCTAAACAAATGTATTTTTGTTTTAATACCGTTCAAAATAATAAATTCCTTTAATTTTGCTAAGTGCCAAATGCAACTTAAACAATTTTTGTTCAGTTAATCAGGTTATAAAAATAAAAAGCTTGTGAGAAAATGTTAACAATACAATTTGAAGGAATGGTTAAAACACCTCAATATGAACTTTGCCCATCACATTGATTCATCACAATTTGTCACATTGAACATGTTACATACAAAGCGGATCATGTACACAACCGTTAAAAGTAACATTATTATTTGTTCATTGTTTTCGTTGTTAGTAAAAAAAACGGATTATTAACAATAAGATGTTTTTGTTAAAACCATTACATACAATTTATGAGCAAAAATGTTTGGAAATTATGTTTAGTTCCATATGTTTGCTATCGTAACACATGGGGTTTCATACACGCGCAAACGTGTTTAGGAAAATTGTTTAGTGAGAAATATGTAATTTTGATTACAAAGAAGATTATGGATTTGTAGAATGTTAAATATATGAAATAATAATTTCCTAGTTCTGTAACTAATTAATATTATAAAAGGAAAACAAAACTACTGCAAGTGGAAACCTGACTAATGTATATAGCACCAACACTGAAAAGACCGACAAAACGGCAAGATTGAGCTAATTTATGGTTTAATGAAAGGCGATAGTTGTGTTGAACGTATGCTACAAGTCACGCTTCTAGCACTGATGCATTGATGAGAGATTTTTACAAATAAATCACTCAACAAAAAAGTAATACAGTTCATATTGAAAGGAAAAATTGTGGAGGTACGAGCAAGTTTAGGTTTCTTAAGCAAAATGGTATGCTACACGTATCAAAACGGTCAGAAAAAACTACATTCTTATGATAAAATTACTTGTTTTCCTTTATAATTTGGCAAATAATATGCTATATAGATATATAGGATTCTTTTTCAGATACAAATGATCATGTAATCACATTCATTCGACAACAAGATGCCACCGAAGTTTCAGCTTAACTAAGCATACAGGCTTAAGGTAATCTAGTGTGGTCGCCCTGCGTTCGTCGTCCGTCAGTCGCTGTTTATCAACCGCAATGGAACATAATCTTTTACTTGACTTCTTAGCTATTATTCCTGGAAACAATAAGAAAATGATATGTTGCTAGCGCGAAATTAAAACATTTATCCATTCAAAGATAAATACATTTTATTCCTTGCGGTCTGGAGACCGCAGGGTATTGGTACGCGTTTTACTTTTGAGGCATGGAGGAGCACGTGACCTGTTTTCGGTACATGGAGGAGCATGTGATCTGTAAACCGTACATGATTGGTTAATTGACCTTTTTCGTAAACCTGGCTAAATACCGTTTTGCCGGTACGTTACGGATAATCCTCTAGGGAAAAAGTGTTACACTTAATTAAGAACAAAAAACTATTACGTGATATTTTTAATTTTCTATAATCATAATACCGTTTAGGGTAGAAAAACTTGAATAATATGTTTGAAAATTATCGATGTTTCTTTAATATGTATCTCAAAATGTTACAAACAATGAATTGTTTATACTGAAAATCTACAAAATTAAAATAGTCGTAGTGGCATCTGCCATAATAAATAGAGATGTTTTCTGCGAAAACTTGTGTGTTTGATTTTTTTTTTTTTTTTTTGGCTCGGAATTATTAGGCCTATTTAATTATTTTCTTAAAAAGAAATAATTGTTTTATGTTCGACCTTCTCCGGTCATTAACGGTCACCAGTTTCCAAAGACCTTCTGCTATATTGATCGATAATTGTCAACTATATTCCTGATACAAACGTTTATTTATCCAACCACCCAAACAATGTTGAAGATAGTTAAATGAAATATCTTTATATCATCAAAAATGTTCCCCGCAGGTAACCATTTTACTTGTACATGTACATGTACAGTAACAAAGAAGACTCAATATTAAAATACATGTAGATGCTTTTATGTAAGCAAATTCAAACCAATTATTTGGATGAAAAAGTAGGACAACACCTAGATTTTGATTTTAATAACTCACAATCAATTTATTTAGAGGCCTTTTGAAAGACCTACTAAAGGAAAGATAACCTAATCGAATCTAGTTTACCACTTCTTTATTTCTCACCGACAATTGTTTAGAATTGCATGTAAGTTCATTGAATTTTGGCCTTATGTAGATTGCATAAATTACCTTATTTGCTCACTTTACAACATAATAACACTTTAAGATTTAAAGACATTTTCAAAGTTTTTATGAGAAAAGCATGATTGTTGAGTTAACGTAACGAGTCTGGTGTTTAAAACGTAAATTTGTACTCACACTGGTAGCGGTAAGTCTGTCAAAAGGTATGCTATAAAGGTATATAAAAACTTTTTTTAGCTTTCACTATAATATTATACTATTAAATTTGAGATTTTATTTTTCTATTTTACTCTAAACAAAATGATTTAACTAAAATGATAAGTCACATCCGTGTGATTTGTTCTGCAATAAGAAAAGGCAGTGCCATTGGTCCATCATTTTATGTCTACAACTAAACATTTCGCTTTATAAGATATAGCGGTTATTCAACAGACATGTATATTGTAAATAGTATTACAAGACAATGCTGAAGGAAAACTTTTTAATCAAATAAATATAATTCATGATTAAGCTAGAAAGTCATCATTGAATGCATTTCTTAAAATTCAGCAATTAAATGACACATACCCGTAACTATTTTATGCTTAAAATGATTATTTCTCTGTTACAGAAATAGTGATATCCTGGAATACATATTGTGATGCGATGAGTTGTCAGAGTAACTAAGACTGCAATGAATTTTCTAGACTGCAGGTAAGTAATCATAAATCAAATTATTTGCAAAGAAAGTTACAGTTTGCTATTGATGATGTACTTACGCTAATAAGTCATGACTCAGGGAATATTTGATTCATTTGTTGGTTTATCTTGTTCATACTTTGAAAGTAAAATTAATACAATTAAATTGTAGGCAAAACTTATATACAAAAGAGCTATACTTAACATTTGACATACATAAAAAAGAAATATTACTTTATATCATATTGTCTTTTCAGATTATTACAATGAGTGATATTCAACCTATTTGTATATTACACCGGACAGCTACAGGGAAATCTGATGAACCCTTGAAACAGTTACTGAACAGTCATGAGCCAATGTAAAGGAAGCTGAAAAACTCCGAAAAGAACATTTAATAACTTCACATTTTTTCGATATAAATAGTCCAGATCAATATGTTTCGCATATGTATTACCACTCTGATTGTTACAAAACTTATAATGCAGTTCCAAAACAGCTTAATAAAATTGAACCATAAGCCAATGTGTTTGTTTTGTAGCCATTACAACTGACTGATGAACGACTTTTAGTCGTCAAACTGATATGAAATAAAATCTTTAGAATGTTCTTCAATTCTTTTGAGTTTTAAATTTGCCAAATTAAAAAAGGATTGTTTTACCTCCACCATTTTCGTATCTTAATTCTAAAACTGCAGTTCTCAAAACAGGATTTAAACTGAATTTTGTTTATTAGCACTTTTCTTTGACCAAAATGTAATCAAAGAAATACCTTCTTAGCAACAGCTTGAAGTTGGTTTGGACCACCGTAGCATTGTTCTTAACATGTTGCATACACGTTGGGCATATTTTCTAACCACCGACTATCATGAAGTTTAAGGTAACACAATAATGTTGAAATGCCTGAAAATGAAACATAAAACCAATTTATTAACGTCGCATCAATAGTGTAGATGTCATATGGCGACATTCTAGCTTGACCTTCGTAACCTCTCTGTGTAGTGTTTATGCACAAACGGGAGCTTTAGTAAAACAACTTACGTTTCTGGAAGCCAGAGAGATAGCTTCTGAAAGAATCCAAATTCCTTGGTCCTTGACCGGAGTCAAACCCAAATAGGTATAAGCAAGTGGTCAAAAGTCAACGTCCAGTCGGCCATGGACGTTTATATAATAGATATATATAGTAAGAAGGTGAATAGAAATCTGTTAAGGGCACATGTATTTTGATTTAAAGCTGTAAAAATAAAATAAAGAGTTTGTGTAACAATGATCCAATTTATTCTTTTTTAATAAAATTGATGATAAAATTGAAACCTAACTCAGTATATACTCATTTTGACAATCAATAAACAGTTAAGTTTGTTTAATTAATTAGTTTGAAGCGAATCTATATTACAATCACAGCCAATGACATTTCAATAAACGTGACCTTCTATTTATCATGAGATCACACGTGTTGATTCTATGAGAATGAACAGGAAGTGAAAAAAAGATGAATATGAAGCTTAATCTCAGCAGTCAAACAGTATGAGTAAGAGCCTTGTATTGACTTATTATTCATTAGAGAAAATACCTACTGTTTTCCATAGTTTTGACACAATGATCAATGAAGATTGTCACAAACACATAACAAATCCTTTAGTTCAATCTTTTAAAGGTCAAAAACATTAATGTTAAAAACAAAACGGTCATTAGTTATAAAGTGGGGTACTTCTTTCAAAATTAAAACAGCAACTATTATTCATGTTTTAATAAACAAAACTGAACACCAAGGTCTTAAAT